TAAATTTGTCTGTTATAAAACTGCCGTGGCAGTGCTCTTAAAAGGTTTTGGGCTTGTACGAGGTACGATCAGAAAGTTTCAAGACTGCGCCTATAAAAACCCGTACACTTATCTCAGGTATTAAATTCATCCATCACCCTTGAAGTAGTTCCCCTGGGAGTGAACACAATGATCCCAGCGCCGCTGCCAAGCCTGGAAGCATCCCTGGAAATCTTTCTTTGTCAGCCTGTCAAGCACCATCTGCGATTCTGCCTGAATCTCTTCTATCGTCTCAAATCTCCTTCCCTTGAATTTTCATCTTTCGGAAGAGGAAGAAGTCACACGGAGCTAAATCCGACGAATAAGGAGGGTGCGGGATGACGACCATGGTGTTTGAGGCCAAAAACTGCCGAACTTTGAGGGCGGTGTGCGCTGGCGCGTTGTCATGATGCGTCGCATGGGGAGTTCTTCGTTTAGAATCAGCTGACAGGTCCCATAGCCTACCCCAACAATGTCGCACAAGTCGTTGATGGTACGACGTCGATCTTCGTAACATTTTCGGGCGTTGTGCTCGAAGATGGTCGTCCAGAACGCTCGTCATCATCGACAGAGGTTCGGCCATTTTTAAAACGTGAATGCCACACAAAAGTTTGTGCACGACCCATTGCGGACTCCCCAAATGCTTGCTTTAGCATTTCACAGGTTTCCGTAGCCGTTTTGGCGAGTCTTTGGCAAAAGTTGATGCACACGCCATTCCGAAATCGCAGGAAGCAACATGTGTTCACTACTATTTGTTCGTCATTCTTGATGTGTATCACAATTACGGTGTTTCTGAAGAATTATTTTTTCGATGCTTCCAAGGAATTAAATATTCCTGTACTCAGACCACGTCTTGGTATACCTGACAGAGTTCCCTTAACATGCGACTGGATGACCGGACACAAGAGTGTGACGTGTAAACTGCTGAATCTCACTCACGTTACTGACAAAAATGTATTTACTCTCTATCTCTTCTAGTCGGGACGGGCATTTAAAGTAGCTCGGGCATCGATATAATTAAACCGAAATACGTAGGTTAATTAAAATTTTAATTGGGTAGCTTGGTCATCAGTGTTGATTGAACACATTGGGAAATATTTTTCAGGCTCCAGGCAAAGCTTTTGGTTAACTTTATGCTTACCAGGAAAAAGCAAAATTACGTTTGATGAATTGTAGAGAGAAACATGGTTCTTAAATTGGACATGCGAGTTTCCTGTTTGTATGTCTGGCCACCAATAATGTTAATTTGTATGTGACAAATAAAGTTTAAATGATGTCTGAATACTTTTTATATGAAAAAATTAAAGTGTTGTTATGCTGACTAACTGACTAACAAACTAATTCCACGGAGCAGAGTCCTAATTGAAAAGTTGGTTGTCTCCCAGCTGATCAAGTATCTATCTGCATTTAAAAACACGAATCTTTGTTACCGTGTTCACAAAAATCACCCATCGGTCCCTATTCTTTGCTATGGATCCAGTCCTCAATAATTTTTACTACACTGGAACCTCGATATACCGCACCTCGTTATACAGCGGCCGTGATCATGACCTCCGATACGATTACATGTGTTTTAAATATTTCACATTTAACTCGAGTAACTTATAAAGCGGGTACTGAAGCTGTCCCCCGAAACCCGCGTTATATCGAGGTTCCACTGTATTTCCTAAAGAGATAATTTAATATTATAAACCCATCTACACCCAAGCCTTAACAAAAATCTTTACTTATTTCACAGCTCCTAATGACATCTTTCTTGTTTTGATAAACCTAATAACATTCTCTAAGACTACACATCATGAAGCTCTTTAGCTTTCTAGCTTGCAGTCACTTCATCATTGTTATTACTATGAGACCATGCGTGTTAGCATTCTATGTGGCAATACAAAATTCCACAGTTTAGCTTAATACCACTGAAAGTAAGCCATACCTAACTCGAAATGCTTACTTTATTACTGTACTGCAGCTGACCAAAAAGTGCAATTCAGACGAACCGCTAATTGTATTTATATTACAATACCACGTGGTTAAAATTCTAAAAAAGAACTATTACAGGTATTAACATAATACATTTTAAATGTTTCTGTTCCAGTATTACTATCGATAACTCGTAACAATTGAAAATTAATTCTGATGATAATTTTTGGCTATAACTGTTGCATCTCATTTCCCTGGCGAGGTTTACAGTTTCCTTTGTTTAGCGACCTGATGGGAAAAGTCTTCTGGTTTGTTGCGCCACGTAGTCTTTAGAAGGTAACCGACGTTTCGCAGGTTCGTACTGCCTTCATCATCAGGGCCATAAATAAGCCGCTCTAAGTTCGAGTTACGTATATCCAGATAAGCTGACATCTTCGTACTTGACGTCGTCAGAACCTGACGTCTCACTTTTTGTAAATGAAACGAAGTCACAAATTCCAGTCGCTGTGCATAGTCGTGTCTATGAAATTCGTGGTTCATCCTTCATATATATATCTCTGCCTCTCTGTGGGGTGCGCGTTGTGAAGGAAGTAAGCTCAGTTCTGCGGCGTCGTACGGCTGTGACGTGAAAGGAAACCAGGAGCCAGAATCGGTGTTACCCTGGTGACAAATGACAGAACCACACAATGGAAGAGCCAAGTTGACTCTCCCTCCCAAGCACAACTGGAGTGTCAGGACCCAACATTCAGGGTACCATGTTTCTGGTTTAATGTATAAGCGGTTTAAGATAAGACACCTGAAATGTTACACCCTGAGGGAGACTTTCATCATAACTAAGTAGGAAGGAAGTAAGCATAGAAAAGTGATGTTCGTTATATTAATATAATTTAGAAAGTTCCTGGGTCGAACTATAACATAAAGCACGCCAAGTTCTGCTTACACTCAGTTTTGGAATCTCCGGCTTCTTAAGTATTGTTAGTCAGTACTTATCGTAACGTGGACCTTCTCCCCTCTCAACCTTTCTGTACCTTAGATCATTTTCTCAGCATCATCTAAAACATTTTTATAAAAATCGAATCTATAATAACAACTACAGACATAATATACAGGTCTTTTCATCAAGCTTTTGCTACAATTTGGAAGTAATAATCGTGTTTAAAACGATTATAACTTAACACTGTATGTACTACTGAGTAAAATATAATCAAATCAATGTGCACAACTCGCGAACCCCAAGGTGTCCGCGTATTCCAGGTTGAGAAATACTGCTCGAAAGTGCTCATGAATACCGTGCTCTGATTTTGCGAAATAGCTCTCCCGGCTAGTTCCCTCCCATGCACGAATGATAAGATCTGTAATTCAGTAGCTGAAACATTGCGTTCAGTGGTCACTACTTCTGTTTCCTACTCCTGAAGTCCCGGGTCCAATTTTTGGCCGTGATGTCTACGCAGTGTAACTTGTACAGTTGAAAATAGTTATTAAATAAACAGAGAAGAGAAGGAGGAGAGAGAAAAATGGAGACAGAATCTCCTTTTGATCTGCGGTTCTCTTCACAGTATTTGTGTCGGAATTTCTCCAATGGAAGAAATTTGTTCTTTACAATTAAGAATCGCCCGATGCGTTGAGTAGAGTGAAAGTTTAATGTTAATGCAGAGAGTTTTACAATTACTTTATCGAGGTTTTTATTTTCTTGTGTCTGAAGCATCCTACGTAGACTTATGGACTTAAACGTTCCTGAATTATTGCCTTCAAGTTTATTTAAACTCTGAAACTATGTTCATTTCAGAAAATATATGCTTCTGTCATGCCCATCACATTACATCTCGTACCCTTCAAGACCAGGAACACCAACATTTTAAATTCCATTATTAAAACAAATAATTAATTCAACTACGAAATTAATACTTTATATTTAATAAGCTTTTGTCGGGTTGGTTATTTAATTAAGACATATTTTGTGTGAATTTTGAACAGAGACACATTTAATTTAATTACACGTGGGAAATGATCTTAAGCGACTCGTTGGGAAATTCATATGGATGTCGAAAATAAAAATATTTATCCTAATGTTGGTTAACTATACGATGCTTTATCAAAGCGCGCTGGTTCGAGTCTCGGGGAAAGAAATTTCTCATGAGATTTTCGACCATTGTATGGGACCGGTGCCAACCCAGCATCCTGAGGAAATTGGGGAGCTACAATGAGTAGCGTAATCCGGTCAGGAAAGCTAGCAATGGTTGGGGGTTCGTCGTGCTGACCACAGGTCACCCTATATCTGGTTGGATGATCGTTCACCTCTGCTTAGGCATGTGAACGTGAGGCCAGCAGTCAAGCTAGTCAGATTTGGCTCTCTGGAGCTGTTACGCCACGGATTTAATTTAATTTTTTAACTTACGTTTCGTATACAAATTGTTGGAAAACTTTGTTATTACGTGTGTTTATTTTATTTATTTGCGAGTATCTGCTGTCGAAATTGTATGGAAAGATTTTCGATTTCCACCATTAATGAACATTTCCGGGGAGTTTTCTTCTCCGGTTTATTGCGTTAATCATTTAAAGTTCAGTGGTAACTACATAAGTATATTCAACCTGCATAATTAATTAATAACTCTCAATTTTATGTTATGCGTTTCGTATGATTCTGAGTGTAAACAGCGATTACTTACTGAAACAGCGTAAACCCGTTGGTCTTTGTAATAGCGAAGTGTTGTGTTTTCTTTGCGGTACGTACTGAAATCTTAATATTTAGAAGCGCTTCGGCTCCATAGGGTTAATAAACATTTTCGGAGTGTCGTATTTGTTAGTGTTGTAAAACGTACGTACATAACCCTGATTATTGCAAATTAAATGAATGCTTAGTTTCTGAACAAGCAGCTAGCTTGCGTCATTTGCATCAGGATTCACATGTATCCTTCACGCATTCTGGTCCTATCGTGACGCACATAATTCAGCTACAACCAAACGTGACATCCGTCAGACTCACTACTATTCGCAATTCATGTAACAGTGTCAGACAGTGTATGATGTATTAAGGAGCATGAATACAGGACGAGCACTAGTAAGTTTATAACGTTCAAGGCATGCACACATACACAGTAAGTACAAACTGGTTTCTTAACGTCAGTGGCTTCTTCTGATTCCCAACCGCCATTCTTCTCTGTCCACCCACTATTATTTCACAACTTTTTCTGCAGTTGCATCTTGTGTTCCTGTGTTTCTTCCACCCATCAAAAACTGTTTTGTAGCTCCCTCCTTCCTGGCTGCGTCTAATTCAGCACTTATTTCGGCCATCACATACGAAACGTGCGAAAATTTAAAGCAATTTAAGGTCACTTTCAAATTTAAAGTGAACAAGTCTAAATGAAAGGACGTATTTGTCGAGATTTCTAAGCAGAGGCTATGTCCGCCTGACACCAGGATTTTGCAGACCTCAGCTCTAATATAACTAAACATTCTTTGTTGTTTACCACGAGATGGTTACTTATTCAGTCTTATTGCTACATAATATTACCCCTTCGCCAATTCAGACTATAAATTCCTGATTTTATTGTCTCATTTGTATCTGATTTATATAGGTAAATTCCTATATTTCTTAATTTTGTAATTAGTGCATACAATCGGTTTATATATGGACACATTTTCTCTTCAAATGCAGTTATTTCTAAACTCTGTATTGATCCGAACTTCTATCCATATCGCAGACTCATATGGAGGTAACGGTTTAGGTGGTTCAGTTTTTATTTATATGACAAGTTTGTTGATTTATACGAAGAGAGACAGGGGGGAGGAGAAACAGGCTAAATAGATTGATGGAAAGAGGATATGCATGTAATATTTCGCGGAAATTCTCTGAACCGGGTCCGACACTGCCGTAGGACTTGGATGTTGTTCGCTTCGTTACTATTCGCTTTAGCATTGTCGATATATAATAGAAATGCCAGGTGCATTCAAGAGATGCATAACTCAATGACAAGTCAGCTAAGACACGCCATGTTAAAATGCTATGTAACACGGCTTTTATAAATGGCGTTTTACCCTTACAATTCAACGAATATTTTGTAACACATTTCAAATTATAGTAGGGTTAAAATGTTACCACCTAAAATTTAAAGTGTAAAATGAAATTCTACTTTTGTCTGCTCATTTACGAATATAAGTTAATTGAGGTTGTCCACAAAAAATTATGTTTGGAACAAAACCATTTTATGTATTTTAATACAAATACATTCTGTTGATCAATAGCAGTGTTTTTCTCTGATGTGACATGTCAGTAAACATCTTGGGTATCAACCCAAACAAAAGGGCCTGTCTGTAGAAGATTTAACTGATGTTCTTTCTTCATTTTCCATTTCATAATTTGTTTTTTCCTCTCAATTATCTGCATTTTTCTGTATACACGGTAACTGATCCGTGCAACCCTCTAAGCTTTTGTCAAAATATATGAACTTTGTTATTTTATCGTAATTAGTTTGAGATGGAAACATCTTTTGACGACTTGGCTTCCAAAACATATGTTTCATGCTTGAAAATACACGAATGAAGCATAAACTGCTTGATTGTTTGTTACAGTATGACAAAAATTAATGCTGGGGAAGCACAAATTATCCATAGTTCATCGATTAGATCGCATCCCTAGCCTAGTCAACGTTTAGTGTGGTTACTAGTGTCGGCGTCTTAAAATCGGTGTCTCAACGCTGCTCGTCTGAGTCGGCTTCACG